GGTCCGGTTTTCAAAAAAAATCCAGCAGGATTACAGCTATCAGAGGGGATTACATCATTAAATCAGGGTGTTCACAAGAATTAAAAAAAATGATTATGTAATCAGGATTATAAAATCAGGTAATTTAATCCTGTTTTCATTCAGATGAACATTCAGTTTGATAAATGTAGGATGACTTTGATCATCCTGATCCAAGCAGAGGGCTGATTCACACATGATGAAATGTGAGAATAACAACATTCAGAGAAGATTGGATATATTTTAAGATTCATAATCGCTTCAGTGACAGAGTAGATAAAGTCACATTAATGTAAATAAATTAAAGATTTTGTTCTTTTAAAATATTTCTCCAAACAGCATCATTATCGATCATTTAATATTTCATCTAAAGCTGTGAGATCGTTCACTTTGTGTGGATTCTGGCGCCCCCTGTGGTCAAAGTAAGTATTGTGATCAAGCAGCAACCTCCTGTGATGATGCTGAAGTGTAAACTCCTGCAGTTCCTGGAGTGTCCACTAGAGGCTGGCTGCAGCAGCACAGGAAGTCACATACACACCCATTCTAAAAAGCCTGTTTTTACAGCAGAGATGAACATGTTTACAGCCTGGTTCAAAAAACCAAATAGGTGTGATTAGCTCATGTCTGGATGGACACACACTGTACGGGGGGTGAATGTTTTGATGACTTACCATCACAACAACAGCTCCAAGGCAGACTCAGAGAGCAGAACAAACACCTAGCTGTGGGAGTGTCACCCACCAGGGGGAGGGGCTACTGCCCTTTGTGATGTCATGAAGGGAAAATCTCCAAACGGCCTGTTTGAGCACACATTTTCTGAAAAGTGGAGCAGGCAGAAGACGGAGAGGATGGACTTTTCTCATCATTGGGGGGTTTGTAGACGGACTAGAGACACATGTTAGAGTTAGAGGAACATGGAGAAGTGGATTTTAAATATGTGACCTTTAAATTTTTTCTCAGTCTCTTTTTTGTTTGTCTTTGATTCAGGTGAGGAGATGATGTAATGTGAGGCACTTTGAGTTCTATTTATACTTGGATGAAAAGTGCAAAATAGTTCTGAAGTGGAATCATGCGCTTAACCTTTATTTGCTGTGAAATGACAGACATGACATCATTGTTTGTGTTATTAATGATTGAATATTTGCATTCATCTCCATGAAGGGTTAAAGTTTCAGTCACAGTAAACTAAAGGATCAGTATGTTGGACTCAGTTGCTCTGATTCCTCTCACTCTCTCTCTGAAGCACCCAGATTTTAAATGAGCGATATTTCCTCCTCCTCTGACTGAATATGTTGGCAGCGGTGAGTCGCCCCCCCCCCCTTCCACCCAAACATCCCTCTCAGTGTGTCGCTCTCTTATCAGAAAGAAGAGGAACACAGATGAATCAGATAAACATCATCCAGCCTGTCGTCTCACGCCCGAGCCGCCTGCAGCCTGCTGTTCCTCCTCACTGCTCTCCTCCTGTGCAGACATGTCGGACATCACAGGCAGCTCGTCCTAATGACAGGCTGTGATGTCATTCAGACCGGGGGGGGCTCTCATTATGGGGGGGCTGCAGACAGCTTAATGAACAACATGGTCTTTCCCTGACAAAGAGCTTCTTATGTATCCTGTCATCAACAGCACTGTGTGTGTGTGTGTGTGTGTGTGTGTGTGTGTGTGTGTGTGTGTGTGTGTGTGTGTGTGTGTGTGTGTGTGTGTGTGAGCTTGTCATCACCATGCTTTAATCCATCTGTCACACTCGGCCGTGAGCTCAGCTGTTCGGGTGTGTCTCTGGAATTTAAAACTCTCTGGATCAGAAAAAAAAGCTGTGAGGAATAAAAAGGTCTTCAATAAAATATTCTAACTGGTTTCAACAGACGACATCACGCCATCCTGTCCTCGCTCCTAAATTGTACTGGTCTCTCTTGAAGCCCGTCCTGGTCTTGCCCTGGATTACATTTCTGACATGTTGACCCCTAATGAGTCATCTCACGACATCACATCCTCAGGCGGGCCCCTTCAGTGACGTAGACTTTATGGTGGCTGAATCGAGACTCCTCCAGCAATCAGGAGTTGTTATGAACGCACAGATTCACATGTATCAAAACCATTAAAATACCATTTTCTTCTCCACGTTAAAGTGGTTTAAATCAGGAACTCTCAACTGGTCGAGCCTCAGCACAACCCACCAACTCACACCCCACATTTATGATATTTTTCAACACAAGTTGTGAAGTTTGGACCTCAAGACGGTACAAAGAAATGCAAAAAACAATATTTAAAAGGCGTCCCCGTGTGGACTAAGTCTGGAAATTGGTCTGGTATCTGGAGAGGTTCTTAGCACTGCCGAGGTGCCCTTAAGCAAAGCTCTGAACCCCCATCTTCCCGGTTCTTTCAAATGCAGCATGCTCACTCTGACATCTTGCCATCAGTGCATGTCCATAAGATCCTGTTTGTTCATGTGTGTGTTTCAGCCTGTGTGTGTGTAACATGTCTCAATAACAGAGAGTAAAAGTCATTTCTCCTCATGGGATTTATAAAGGATATTTTCTTCTTCTTCTTCTTCTTGTTCCTATTATTATTATTATTATTATTATTATTAATTTTATTATTATTTGTATTATTATTATTATTATTAATAATTTTATTATTATTTGTATTATTATTATTATTATTATTAATTATATTATTATTTGTATTATTATTATTTGTATTATTATTATTTGTATTATTATTATTATTATTATTATTATTATTATTATTAATAATAATTTTATTATTATTTGTATTATTATTATTATTATTATTATTAATTTTATTATTATTTGTATTATTATTTGTATTGTTATTATTTTTATTATTATTATTATTAATTTTATTATTATTTGTATTATTATTTGTATTATTATTATTATTATTATTATTATTAATTTTATTATTATTTGTATTATTATTATTATTATTATTATTAATTTTATTATTATTTGTATTATTATTATTATTATTATTATTTGTATTATTATTATTTGTATTATTATTATTATTATTATTATTATTATTAATTGTATTATTATTTGTATTATTATTTGTATTATTATTATTGTTATATGATGGACTGTCGGCTATAACTGAGGATGGAGATGTTGTTAAGTTTAAAAAAGAACACTTTCTTTTGACTAGTAGATAAAAGTAGTTTATTGTTAAAAACGAGGACACTATATTATCTCTGATTTCATCTCCTGGAGACTTCAGCAGAAAATAATCAGTTATTATTGTTAAATGAACAGCAGTATCTACTTTTGTAATTATTTAAGAAAATCTCTTTATTTGACATTGTAAAAGCCTAGAAAAATACTATAAAGATGACGCCATCAAACTTCGACCTGCGTCCGAAGACGTCATGACGTAGTCTTTGTGGGACAGTTTGTTTACATCATGGCGGCGGTGGATTTCAGAGGTAACAAAAAACGACGTTTTATTCTTAATTTAGTGACTGCCCGAGTTTTCCTCTTAAGTTAACTATTTATAAACCAATAAACTACCAGCTCTTTCTTTGTCTGACAATAAATCTCCTTTCAGATAGTTTTCATTTAAATGTTGACGTTAGCACATCCTTTCATTAGCAACAATGCTAACTGTAGCTAACACTGACTAAACACAGCTTTGTTGTATAAACAATAATACAGTAAATACTTTAGGGTTGAATAAACATTGACAAGTATTACAGGTAGAGGATAAGATGATTGAAGTTATACAAACTGTCTGTTAACAGCACGGTGACCATGTTACGGTTTAAATAGTGACCGTGCTATCTGGTGACCGTGCTATCTGGTGCTTCTTTACATGTGTTTTATTGAACATTATTCTGAAACAAAGGGGCTTTGTAAGGATGAAAACTACAGATGTGACGTCACCAGTTAACGGTCCAATCAGTGGAATGATAAAGTGACCTTCAGGTAGAAACTGACCTTCAGGTAGAAACTGACTCCTCCTTCCTCAGACAACCTTTTGGGGATTTCGTGGGTGGACAGCGGCTGGGTTCCGATTCTGAACCCGGGAAATGTTTTGGACTACTTCTCTGAGAGGAGCAATCCGTTTTATGACCGAACCTGTAACAACGAGGTGGTGAAGATGCAGCGGCTCAGCCTGGAGCATCTCAAGTGAGTTCATCTGTTCACCAGAAGTTCACTCAAATAAACACTAAGGAAGGAGAATAAGAGTTTCTGTTTTAATGAAGACTGTGATCTCAGGTAAAGACTGAACGGCTGAAAGCAAACTTTGGTTTTGTCTTCCTTCCAGTCAGATGGTCGGAGTGGAGTACATTCTTCTTCATGCTCAGGAGCCGATTCTTTACATAATCCGTAAACAGCAGAGAACGTCTCCAACACAAGGTGAGCTTCTGTTTGACACGATTTCATTTTGTTAGGTGAGTCAGCCAGTAGAGCTCAAGTCCAGGACGTGGTCTCGAGTCCTGATTGTCAGGACTGCTGACTCAACATGGACTCCAGCTCTGATGACTCTTCTTCTTCTGCACGTTTTCCTGCAGAGATCCCGTTGTCGGACTACTACATCATAGCAGGAGTGGTGTATCAGGCCCCGGACCTGGGGACCGTGATCAGCTCCAGAGCGGTGAGATTGATCGTTTGGTTCTTTACTAAACACTCGATGATGACTCGATGACTTTCAGGGTTTAGTGAATATGACTCGTGTGTTTTAGTTGTCTGCGGTTCATGGGATCCAGTCAGCTTTCGACGAGGCCATGTCCTACTGTCGCTATCACCCGTCTAAAGGATACTGGTGGCACTTCAAGGACCAGGAGGAGAGAGGTCAGAGAGATGTTTTCATTCTTCATATTACAGTCATGTTTCCACTACAGGAACTTTCCCCAAGGACCAGGAACCTTTATATGAACTGTGCACATTCTACACAGAGACCGGGGTCTAAATGAAGGACACACAGACGTTAGTTCACCCCCACAAAGTCTCTGCTCTGGGAGTATCGATCTCTTAAAGTACAGGACATAAGGGGGCGGGGCTTATAGTGCTGAATGTTTCTGATTGATCGAGATCATGCAGCATGTTATTCAAGCTTCTACATCATTGTTGTTTTATCATCACGCCCATGTACGCAGAGGAAACATAAATGTCCATAATGATGCATGAGGGTTAAAGCAGAGAATCGGTTCCTGTGATGACACATGAAGAGCGAGAGCCGAGGTTCCCCAACATCCCAGAATGTTAATCAAAATCCTGAAGGCCTGAGCAGAAACCGTTAAACACGTCCGTCTCATTTCTTCCAGATAAAACCAAACCGAAGTCAAAGAAGAAAGAGGAGGCGAGTTCTCTGTTCCAGAGGCAACGTGTCGACACGCTCCTTCTCGACCTCAGGTCCAAATTTCCACCAACGTTTTACCAGGTGACTCAGACCGTTGTGTGTGTCACATCGTCTCAGTCTTTTTATTTAAAACCTATAAGTTGCTGTTATTATATTAAACTGATGTCGATTTTCATTTCAGCCCAAACCGGGTGAGAAGCCGATTCCAGGTCAGTATTTAAACTCTCACTCCGTCTGTGAACGTCAGTGTTTTACTTTGAAAGGGATGCACTTGATGATCATTCAGTGATTTTATTTTGAAAAAGACACACCGATAACTAAAGACAACAACAAATCCAAAGAACAAATAAATGATGAAATAGGAAGTTCTCTTCAAAATAAAAGTAACTTCCTGTGCTCTTGTGTTTCAGTTGAGGTGAAGAAAGAACCAGAACCTCCGACAGAAACCGTTAAACAAGAGGAGAGGGAGCCGGCCTCTAAGTCCTCTGCACCGGCGCCGCCAAGCAAACCGCCTCCTGAGAAGAGAGCTCGGCTTCAGTGAGACCGGACGGAGACAGGAAGTGAGACGTATGACAGACCCACTGAAAGAAAAGCTCAGGAGAGTTTTTGTTACCTCTCCATAAATACAATTACTCATCAGATCCATTTACAAAGAGCAGCGCCAGGATCGGTTGACATCACCAGACAGCTGTGTCACACACACACACACACACACACACACACACACACACACACACACACACTCATAGACTCACACACACACACACACACACACACTCATAGACCCACACACACACACACACACACACACACACACACACACACTCATAGACTCACACACACACACACACACACACAACACACACACACTCATAGACTCACACACACACACACACACACTCATAGACTCACACACACACACACACACATAGACTCACACACACACACACACATAGACTCACACACACACATAGACTCACACACACACACATAGACTCACACACACACACATAGACTCACACACACACACACACATAGACTCACACACACACACACATAGACTCACACACACACATAGACTCACACACACACACATAGACTCACACACACACACACACACACACAGACTCACACACACACACACACACATACATAGACTCACACACACACATAGACTCACACACACACACAGACACACACACATAGACTCACACACACACTCACACACACACACACACATAGACTCACACACACTCACACACATAGACTCACACACTCACACACACACACTCACACACACTCACACACACTCACACACATAGACTCACACACTCACACACACACACACACACACACACACTCACACACACACTCACACACACACACACTCACACACTCACAGGGTTAATGCTGGATGTCAGCAGCAGGCGTGAGGTGGGATGAGGTTTTTTGGACGATACGCTGACTCAGCAGAAGTATCGGTTTACTGATGACATCAGCGTAATATTTGTGTTGTGACAGTTTAACTGGTCGAGGAGCGTCACCATGAACGACCTCATCAGATTTCTTTACACTCTCTGTTGTTATTACTTTGAAATACTCTGTTTGTCTGTTTTTGTATTAAAATATTTCAGCCACTGGATCCTGATGTGTCCGGATGACCTCACAGCTGACTCAGGACTGTTGACTTTCACTGACCCACTTTAGTGTCAGACTACAATCATCAAATATAATCTACAGTGGTGGAAGGTAAACTTCCTGCAGTAACGTACTCCAAACTTGAGGTTACTTGTTTTTTTTTTGTCTGTTGTTTTCTCAGAATCAGAAACACTTTATTAATCCCTGGGGGAAATTCGGTGTTACTATTGCTTTTCACACAATACAGCAGTAGGAAATAAAATAGAATAGAGATAATAAAATAAGCAATTAGTACCAAGTAGGGCTACAATAATTAGATATATACAAGATAAAGCAATATTTACATTATGAAGGAAGTGACCAGAGACAGAGCACTTATTAAAATTATAATTAAAGTTTATATCCTAACATCGACCACTGTTCTTGAGAGTTCTAATCAGCATCAAAACCATCTTAAACATCAGCATCATGAAAGTTGTTGTTCTTAAAGGTGCAGAGGGGTTGGTAATTCGTTCCACCGCCGGGGGGCGACAGAGGAGAAGAGTCTATAGTTAGAGACTGGATCAGAAAGTTTAGGTAAGGAGTATTTTTTATTCCTCTACAAATACTTGTCAGCTGAGCTAAATGGTTAAATTGAAAGCTAATTAATCTAAATCAATCCAGGTGGGCTTCAGGTAACATCTGGTTTTTATACCGGTCAGTCTCATCTCGATGCTTTAATTCCATTAACTCGGTTCGTTAAAAAATGAAGATACTAAAACAAATAACAGTAAATAGAGATTCTGATTGTGACCAGCAGGTGTCGCCATTTCATCAGTTTTGCTCCGCG